GATTCTTCAAACAAAATGATAATGGGGACACAAGTTATCAAAATCTGTGAGATACAGCAAAAGCACCTGAAAGGAAAACTAATGGCATTAAATGTTCACATCCAAAAGACAGAAAGCTCACAAATCAACAAACTAATAAACTGTCTCAAGGAACTGTAAAAGGAAGTGCAAATCCATTCCAAACCTAGCATAAGAAAAGATATAACTAAGATTAGAGTGTAACTAAATGAAATTGAGAACAAAAGAAATATAAGAAGATCAATAAAACCAAAAGTTGGTTTTTCAAAAAGATAAACAAAATTGACAGCCCTCTTGCTACATTGACAATAACTAGAAGGGAAAGGACTCTAATAAACTAAATTAGAAATGAAAAAGGAGAGGTCACAACAGACACCATGGAAATATAAAACATTATCTTTGAATACTATAAAAACTTATATGCCCCAAAACTACATAATAAGGAGAAAATGGACAAACTCCTGGAAACATACAACCTTCCTAAGTTCAACTGGGAGGAAATAGAATCCCTGAACAGACCAATATCAAGCTAAGAAATTGGAGCAGCAATTAAAATCCTTCCAACAAGGAAAATTCCTGGACCAGATGGGTTCATACCTGAATTTTACCAAACATACAAAGAAGAACTTATACCTATACTACAAAAATTATTCCACAACATTGAGAAAGATTGTATCCTCCCCTCAACTCATTCTATGAAGCCAATATCACCTTGATAGCAATACCAGAAAAGGGCACACATACACAAAAAAAATACAGACCAATATCCCTCATAAATATAGATGCAAAAATCCTCAACATAATTTTAGCATTTCGAATCTAACAGCACAAGAAAAAAATAATTCACCATTACCAGGTTGGCTTTATCCCAGTGATGCAAGCCTGTTTCAACCTAGGCAAATCTATAAATTCAATTCACCACATAAATAAAAGCAAGAACAAACACCATATGATTCTCTCAATAAATGTAGAAAAGCATTTGACAAAATCTAACACACTTTCTTAAAAAAAAAAGTCTTAACAAAATAAGCATAGATGAGACATTCCTTAAAATTATTGAGGCCATATATGATAAACCCACAGCCAATATCATATTGAATGAGGAGAAATGGAAAACATTCCCTCTTAGAACTGGAACCAGACAAGGTTGCCCACTATCTCCACTTCTGTTCAACATAGTGCTGGAAGTCATTGCTAGAGCAGTTAAAGAAGAGAGGGGAATTAAGGGTGTCCAAATGGGAGCAGAAGAAATTAAACTCTCACTCTTTGCTGATGATAAGATATTATATCTAGAAAACCCCAAGGAGTCAACCAAGAGACTCCTGGAATTGATATATGACTTCAGTGAAGTCTCAGGATACGAAATCAATGCAACACAAATCAGAGGCATTCATATATGCCAATAACAGCCAAGCTGAAAATAAAATCAAAAACGCAGTGCCTTTTACAATAGCTTCAAAGAAAATTAAATATTTAGGAATATATTTAACAAAAAGACATGAGAGATATATACAGGGAGAACTATAAAACACTAAGAAAAGAAATTGTGGATGTCAATAGATGGAAAAACCTACCTTGCTCATGGATTGACAGAATCTACATTGTTAAAATGTCCATACTACCCAAAGTGATCTACAGAATTAATGCAATCCCTATAAAAGTACCATTATCATTCTTTACAGATCTAGAAAAAATAATTTTATGTGTTGTATGGAACCAGAGAAAACCTCATACAGTGAAAACAATCTTCAAGAAAAAGAAGCAGCTTGGAGGTATCAGTCTACCAAACAGACTTCAAGCTTTACTATGTGGCTATAGTAACCAAAACATCACGTTACTAACACAAGAACATAGAGCTTTGGAATACAACTGAGAACCCAGAAATGAAACTATCCACATATTCTCATCTAATCTTTGACAAAGCAGACAAAAGTATACACTGGGGAGAAGACTCTCTTTTCAATAAATAGTGTTGGGAAAACTGAATCAATATATGCAGAACACTGAAACTGGATACCCACCTCTCACCTCTCATAATATCAATTTACAATTAAATTGAAGGCATGAAAATTTAAGAATCCTGGAAGAAAATGTAGGGAAGAATCTTTCAGACATCGGTTTAGGCAAAGAATTTATGAAGAAGACCCCCAAAGCAATCACAGCAGCAACAAAAATGAATAAATAAGACCTGATCAAATTAAAAAGTTTCTGCACAGCCAAGGAAACTATACTTAGAGTGAATAGACAGCCTACAGAATGAGAGAAAATGTTTGCTTCTACACATCCAATAAAGGGCTGATAACAAGAATCTATACAGAACTTAAGAAAATCAACAAGAAGAAATCAAACAACTCCATCAATAAATGAGCAAAGGACATGTACAGAAACTTTTCAAAAGCAGACAGAATAATGGCCAGCAAACATACAAAAAAGTGCTCACCATCTCCAATCATTAGGGAAATGCAAATCAAAACTATTATGAGATATTACCTAACTCCAGTGAGAATGGCCTCTATCAAAAAGCCCTAAAATAACAAATGCTGGCTTGGATGTGGAGAGATTGGAACACTCTTACACTGCTGGTGATACTGCAAGCTAGTACAACTCCTGTGGAAAGTAATTTGGAGATACGTCAAAGAGCTAAAAATAGAAATACCATTTAATCCAGTAATCCCACTACCAGGCATCTACCCAAAGGAACAAAAGACATTCTATAATAAAGACATCTGTGCTCGAACATTATGGCAGCATAATTCACTACTGCAAAGATGTGGAATCACAAGTGCCCTTTAATCCATGAGTGGCTTAATAAAATGTGGTATACATATACCATGGAATACTACTCAATTACAAAAAACAATAGTGATCTAGCACCTCTTATATTATCCTGGATAGAGCTTGAGCCCATCCTCCAAAGTGAGGTACCACAAGGATGGAAGAATAAGCACAACATGTAGTCGCCATCAAATTGGCACTAATTGATCAACACTAAGGTGCTCACATAGTAGCAATACTGATTGGGGGTTGGAGGTGGGTAAACTCACAACTAATGGATGGGGTGAGCATTGTATGTGGGAAGGGCATGCCTCCGGCTTGAGTGAGACAAAGTCATAACATGTAACCAAAATGTTTGTACCCTCATAGTATCCTGAGATAAAAAGAAAAAAAAAAATAAAGTGATAGTTGAAATAAAGAGACATGTACTGTGACTTCTTGAGATTCTTCCTCTGCTTGGAAAAAATATTATAAAAAGACAGGAAGAATGATTGATTATCTTGCTGACATAGACGAAAAATAATCTTGGCTTTACAGTTAGGTAAGCAATATCCACCGCAGAATTTTTGTGGTACCCATGATTTGCAAGGCTCTCTGATTTAATGAACTATTCTGAACTTTCTATCCTGACATAGTCCACATGTTTATAAATGTAATAATGAGGGACTGTGGGTAAACAGATATACATTTTTGCCACTCTAGTTAAGAATCACTGATTTTAAAAACTCACTTTGCTAAATCAACATTTCTGAATCTAAAATTAAGTTTCCAGCAACTCATAGATACATAGGCTGGGTATTTTTAAAATCTAGCTTCCAGCTCAGCATATATTGCATTTAGCATAAAAGCAATTCATAAATATATATTAGACTAATGCAAGACAAGTTGTCTTTTAATAGTCAGGGGAATTTCAGGAAAACTGTAGTCAATATGGGTTGGTTAGATGAGCATTTAAGTCCTTCTCACTTAGCTTATAGTAAATGAGAACTGCAATTCATAAGCATAAATATTTTTTAAAAGATAGTAACTTTAAGAAAACACTAAAGATAAAAGTTTCTTATGTTCCTTTTCTATTTTCTTTGATCTTGGTCTCAAAAAAATGCAAACAGGTCATTCTCATCCTCAGGGGAGCAGACAAGTAGAAACCCAGGGGGGCAATAAAGAAACATTACACTCCCATTAATACAGTCATAAATTACACACATGCCATGTGTGCATGTACCCACACACAAAATTTTGGTAGCCAGTCAGTATTTATAACAATATAATTGATTGAATGTCGTCATCCCACCAGTAGATCCTGGAAACAGCATACGTATTTTAATTCTATCCAGATAATTACTTGAGAGTATCTTTAAGATTTAAGTCCCTGATCCGGGGATTTCAGGTTTGGGTGGCAAGAGGCATACAAAGAGCCCTAAATCAGGGAATGATTAGGCTACCACCAGAAAAGATCCATATGTGCATCTAGGTCATTTTATTATAATTTCTGAGGCATAACCTATGAACTACATTCATTGAGAGAGACTGTGAATTGTGTTTACAAATATACTAATTGTTTTTCTTTCTCTTTTCAATCCCAGGAGGTGAATTAGTTATCCCTCTTCTTGTAGAAGACCCTTTAGCTACCCCTGCTATTGCTACTCGTGCACCTTCCATTACTCTCCCCCCTACCTTTCGCCCCCTCCTCACCATTATTGAGACCACCAAAGATTCCCTGTCCATGACCTCTGAGGCGGGGTTACCTTGCTTGTCGGACCAAGGCAGCGAAGGTTGTGATGATGATGGCTTGGTGATATCTGGGTATGGCTCAGGGGAAACCTTTGACTCTAACCTGCCCCCTACCGATGATGAAGATTTTTACACCACCTTCTCCTTGGTAACAGATAAGAGTCTTTCCACTTCAATCTTCGAAGGTGGCTACAAAGCACATGCGCCCAAGTGGGAATCCAAGGACTTTAGACCTAACAAAGTCTCGGAAACTAGTAGGACTACTACCACATCTTTGTCCCCTGAGCTGATCCGCTTCACAGCTTCCTCCTCGTCTGGGATGGTGCCCAAATTGCCAGCTGGCAAAATGAATAACCGTGATCTCAAACCCCAGCCTGATATAGTCTTGCTTCCGTTGCCCACTGCCTATGAGCTAGACAGCACCAAACTGAAGAGCCCACTAATTACTTCCCCCATGTTCCGTAATGTGCCCACAGCAAACCCCACGGAGCCGGGAATCAGACGGGTTCCGGGGGCCTCAGAGGTGATCCGGGAGTCGAGCAGTACAACAGGGATGGTCGTCGGCATTGTGGCTGCTGCCGCCCTCTGCATCTTGATCCTCCTGTACGCCATGTACAAGTACAGGAACAGGGACGAGGGGTCCTATCAAGTGGACGAGACGCGGAACTACATCAGCAACTCGGCCCAGAGCAACGGCACGCTCATGAAGGAGAAGCAGCAGAGCTCGAAGAGCGGCCACAAGAAGCAGAAGAACAAGGACAAGGAGTATTACGTGTAAACACGACAGCCCTGACGACACGTGAATTCGAAACAGAATCATTTACATAGACGTGCATATACATACTGTGACCATGCGATGGAGCAGGTGTCAGAACTGCGCTTACCTGTGTGAGATGGGGTATACATGCCATGACTCTGGTGGAGGATACCGTTTTTTTTTTTTTTTTGCAAAGGACACTCACAACGACGTATCTCTCCACGAAGTTCAGCCGTGGCTGCTGCGTTTCGGTCGTCACTCGGAGGCAGAGAGCTCCTCCTGCCCTGCTGTACCATAAAGCACACACTTCGCGCCCTGGAGCAAGCCAATGGCTCCACCGCCCTCGCGGACTAGGAAGCTTCCTTCTCTTGAGGACCTTTGACAAAAGGTGGAAGAAGACTTCATGGCTTACTTGTTCCATAACTCCAAGTGAGTCTGTAATGATGTTTGTGAAGCTTGACTGTAACAATGTTTTTGTTTTTGTTTTCGGTTTCATTATGTAAAAAACCAAAACTTAAAAAAAAAAAAAAAAAAAACAACAACAAAAAAAGAAAAATGTAAAAAAAAAACAAAAAAAAAAACACAACCTTTATCTGGTTTTGGCCAGTGTACGTGTAACTTTTCAAGATCTGAGGGGAAAAATGGCTTTTGGGTTTTTGTTTATTTTTTTGAGAGTGACTGGACATAAGAAGAGGAAAAAAAAAAAAACACTCAGAAAACAAAAGTGAGAGAGACTATTGCCATATGAACTCAAAAGCTTACCATGGTGTTCACTCTACATATCAGGTTGTGGTGTCTCTAGAATCCGTTGTTTGTTTCCTATAAGATGCTTTGCTGAACACATAGCAAAATTCATGGGATGGATGATAAAATTGATTTGAAAAGCTGGTCCCCCAGGATCTAATTCCAGAATTTGCCACCCCAAACCCTAAACAGATGGGTTTAGGTCTGGTTTTATCAGAGCTATTGGCTTTACTTAACAATATTGTTCCTGTCCATTAACCCAGCCAAATTGTGTTAAAGGGGAAAGCCCCACTAACTAAACCAGAGCCTTTCCCAGCAAAGGGGAAAGGGGGGGTGTGGGCTGGATCTGTAACTGATTGAAATGCATGCAAATAAAAACAAAAAAGAAAAGACAATAATAAAGTTTGTTGAATAATCAAAACAGACAATAGGGGAGTTCAACTTGTGATGGAACCACAAAAGGTCACACAAGCCAAACATGTCATGACAGAGTGCAAAATACATAGTTCTTTCCCTTCCCCCAACATGATAATGGTTTTCATTGTGGTTTAATTTTGTAGCCTGACACATGTGGACAACTCTATCCTTCCATTTGCTCACTTCTCCCTTCACCCATCTTTTTTAAAAAACAAACAAATAAATAAATAAATGAATAAAGCTGCTGTGACACACAAAAAAGGAATTTAATAGTATAATATATATAAATAAATATATATACAGATATATTTATCATGGTATGTTTGATGGGATGACTGACACAGGAAATCTGTTAAAGTCTTGAAGTGGAATGAGAATGTTGTTTTAAAAGAAAATAATAACACAACAAAAAAGTAAACCTTAAAATGTGAAGAAAGTGTGAGTTTTAGTTTTGTCACAGTTAACTGTGTCAAAGAGAATTTAAAAAAAAATCTTCTCAGATTTTGTTTACATATTTTACTACATTTTTGCTGGTATAATTCCTTAGCCAACTATGTACATACTGCTTTAAGAACTGTTTTTTCCTTTCTATTTGTTTATTTCAGTTGGTTTGGTTTATATTCCAGTCGTCTATTTTTTTCTTTTTGTAAAGAGGAAACAATGTACAGAAAAAAACAATACACTGGTTGTGTGGCCATAGCTATCCAAAAAGCAAGAGACAAAGCAAGACAAATATTCACACAAAAAATGAAGTGTGTCCTCTGGAGGGTGAGATATATACAATTTCTTTTGTACAGATGAAAATCAAACAGCTGTTTAGATTTAGAAATCTATTCTTGCTGGTCTTTGTAAGTTGCATGAATATTTGACTTTGAAAAAATATCTTAAAGATATGGGGCAAAAGCGCAATCTAAATGATAGCCTTTACTAATGTGTATGGAAAGAGGTGTTCCTCATTATCTAATATTCTAATGTGTTAAGATTTTTTGATTTTTTTTGTTGTCATTAAAAAAGACAGGATTATAAAGAGATATCAAAGCACGATTTTAGATAACCTACATGGCCCAGTCAATATGAAGTTGATTATATCTCGATGTCTGTAAAAGATTGCTATTGTTGGAGTCTTGAGGTCTTGTGAACTGATTTCCTGCTTTCTTTACATTTTTTACTTTGAGTAAAAATACATTTGTCACATTCCTTTTCGTGTAAGTTTCTATTTGGACAATTTTATGGGAACATGTGCATTCTGTATGTGAACTTCTATCATACTCCTGTTGTTTTATTAGCAGACCCTAAAGGAATTTATTTTATGACGTTGTGACGTTACTGCTTTTTCTTTTTCCTTTTCTCTTTTATTTCATATTTGCATTTTTGTTCAAGGATATGCTTAGCAATAAAATGTTCTTCCCAAAGCCTTGTATGATGATACGCTTTTATTTTCTTAACATTTGGGGAAATATCTTGCACTGAAGCCAAATATGTCATATCTTATGAAAAGCCAAATAAGCGAGGACCACTTTTATATGAATAAAATATTCCAAGCATTGCTAATTACTTACATAAGCTTATCAAAAGTGGCATATTTATGGGATAAACAATCTCTATTATCTCAGGCATCATTGTTCAGATTGCTATGATAGCATAACCAAGAGGGGAAGAACTTTTCTGAAAAGGTAAGACAACAAAAGCATTGTATTCTTAAAAAGAGTATTAGATACTATATTTTTAAAAGTGTTTGGTACCTTTTAAGTATTTTCTATATTTGAATAGTATTTCAGAACTATGTTCATATGGTATCTTAAGCACCAGAAAGTTTTAGATGTCTTCGTTCCAAGCTTCCTGCTATGTTGAAATTAAAAAACAAAACAGGGAAACTAAAAGCAAAATTTAAATGAATGCTTGAATTTTAACAGCTTCTTTCCAGAGGTTCTTATTATAAAATTCTTCATACACTCGTTATTGCCGAGAACTTTTCTGATTTTTCTGGTTTTTCAAGTACACGTTTACTTTGCCAATCGGATAATCCCTCGTGATAGCCTATGTTTACAGCATGATCCAGAAATATAGGCTTAACCGAATAGCTGTCTTTTATCTGTATGTTGGTCACCAGTCTTCAAAGAGTTAGAATTTAAAAATATGTATATTTACTTAAGCCTATGCCTTCAGATTTATTAGTGAAATCATTATGCTATTTACTACTACCTTAGAAATGGGAAAAAATCAGCTCGGTGATGTCAAATTATAGAAAGTTCCTTTTTGGTTCCTGTCTCAGATAGTTTACTTAAAGTAAAGCAATCATTTATTGATGCTTGTGATGTGCCAGGCACTATGTTAAGTGTTTTGACTTAAGTAGTCTATTTAATCCCTAAGTGGTAGATAGTATTTTCTCCATTTAAAAGATAAAGAAACAATGAAACAAAGATACAAATAGTTTAAGGACAACTGGGCTAATATATTTCTAATAATACTAAAAGTCAGGCCATGCTGACATAGAGGGCAGTGGAATTTGTGGAAAGGGTATAGACGCTGAGATCAGACAGAGTTGGGTTGTGGCCCAGATAGACTACTTATTATATGTGGGCAAATTCCATAGCCTCTCTGAGTTGGCTTTTTCTCCTGAAAAATGGGACAACTCAATGACTTTGCCTTGCAAGGTAGTTTTGGGAAAAAAACTGAAATAATATAAAATGTATTTAACTATGTTTGGCACAGAGTAGGCACTTAACAAAATTAGTCTCCTTTTTTACTTTGAGTGCCATACTTATTCCCTAAATAATAGCTGTCTTCTAAATTTAGAAATTATACACTAATTCTCAATAAAATTTTAGCAAACTGAAACTAACAGCACATCAAAAACATAATTCACCATGACCAAGTAGGCTTTATCCTGGGGATGCAAGGCTGGTTCAACACACACAAATCTATAAATGTAATTCACCACATAAATAAAAGCAAGAACAAAGACCATATGATTCTCTCAATAGATGCATTAAAAGCATTTGATAAAATCAAGCACACTTTTATGATAAAAAAAAAACTCTTAACAAAATAGGCATAGATGGGACATTTCTTAAAATTATTAAGGCCATATATGAAAAACCCACAGCCAATATCAGCTTGAATGGGGAAAAACTGAAAGCATTCCCGCTTAGAACTGGAACCAGGCAAGGTTGCCCACTATCTCCACTTCTATTCAACATAGTGCTGGAAGTCCTTGCCAAAGCAATCAGACAAGAAAAGGGAATAAAGAGTGTATGAATGAGGGCAGAAGAGGTCTGACTCTCACTCTTTGCTGATGATATGCTATTACACCCAGAAAATCTCAAGGATTCAGCCAAGAGACTCCTGGAATTGATAAACAAATTCAGTAAAGTCTCAGGATACAAAATCAGTGCACACAAATGAGAGGCATTCATATATGCCAATAACAATCAAGCTGAAAATTAAATCAAAGACGTAACACCTTTCACAACAGCATCAAAGAAAATTAAATATTTAGGAATATATTTAATGAAGGAAGTGAGAGATATTTATAGGGAGAACTATGAAACACTAGGAAAAGAAATTATAGATGTGCACAGATGGAAATCTCTACCATGCTCATGGACTGGTGGAATCTATATTATTAAAATGTCCATTCTACCTAAAGTGATCTACAGAATTAACGCAATCCCTATCAAAATTCCACCATCATACTTTACAGATTTAGAAAAAATAATTCTATGCTTTGTCTGGAAACAGAGAAGACAAAACAATCTTAAGCAAAAAGAACAAATTGGGAGGCATCAGTCTGCCAAACTTTGAGCTATACTACAAGGATAATAGTAACCCAAACAGCATAGTACTGGCCCAAGAACAGAGATATAGACCTATGGAATAGGATGCAGATACCAGATATAAAACCATCCTCATACTGTCACCTAATCTGCGACAAAGCACACAAAAGGATACATTGGGGAAAAGAATCTCTATTCAATAAGTGGTACTGGAAAAACTAGATATCCGCATGCAGAAGATTGAAACTTGATCTCTACCTCTCACAAAAATCAACTTACTGTGCATAACAGACTTAAACCTAAGGCATGAAACCTTAAGAATTCTGGAAGAAAATGCAGGGAAAACTCTTTTAGACATTGGCCTAGGTAAAGAATTTAAGAAAAATATCCCCAAAGCAATCACAGCAGCAACAAAAATAAACAAATGGGGCCTTATCAAAGTAAAAAGCTTCTGTACAGCCAAGGAAACTGTCCTTAGCGTGAATAGACAACCTATAGAATGGGAGAAAATATTTGCTTTCTACACATCTGATAAAGGGTTGAGAACAAGAATCTGTATAGAACTTAAGAAAATCAACAAGAAGAAATCAAACAACCCCATCAATAAATGTACAAAGGACATGAAAAGAAACTTTTCAGAACAAGACAGACTAGTGGCCAGAAAACACATAAAAAAGTGTTCAACATCTCTAATTATCAGGGAAAGGCAAATCAAAAATACCATGAGATATCACCTAACACCAGTGGGAATGGCCTTTATCAAAAAGTCCCCAAATAAATGGTAGCGTGCATGTGGAGAGATTGGAAAACTCTTACACTGCTGGTGGGACTGCAAATTAGTACAACCACTGTGGAAAGTAATTTGGAGATACCTCACAGAGCTAAAAATAAAAATACCATTTGATCCAGAAATCCCACTACTAGGCATCTATCCAAAGGAAAAAAAGATATTCTATAATAAAGATATCTGCACTCGAATGTTTATAGCAGCACAATTTACAATTGCAAAGATATGGAAACAACCTAAATACCCATCAATACATGAGTGGATTAATAAAATGTGGTACAGGTATACCATGGAATAGTACTCAACTATACAAAACAATGGTAATCTAGCACCTCTTACATTATCCTGGATAGAGCTTGAGCTCATCCTCTGAAGTGAGGTATCACAAAGATGGAAAAACAAGCACCACATATACTCGCCATCAAACTAGTACTAATTGATCAATACTAAGGTGCTCACATGGTAGTAACACTCACTGGGTGTTGGTCAGGTAGGGGGCTAGGGGGTGGGCGTTAGAGTGGATTGGGGGATAAACCCATAGCTAATGGAGATGGGGCATACTATAAGGGGAAAGAACATGCTTGTAGCCCTGGCTTGAGTGAGGCAAATGAGTTTCATGTAACCAGAATATTTGGACTCCCATAATATCCTGAATTTTAAAAAAAGAAAAGAAAAATTATACACTAAATTCTGCTCTAAAGAAAAGGATCTTTTTAGTAGTTGTCAGGTAATATAGCCATGCAATGCCCAGAATTTACTAACTATAATTGACAAAACTAGTCATTTTCTAGTCATATATTTTGATTACAAGTATAAATATAGCTAGTAAACATGTAGTATTTACATTTGCTAGCCTACTGTATCTGACAGTACATTTTAAACAAGGGGCTAGAAGCTAAGGTAAGTTGAGTGAGGCCAGATTTGAGAAAACGTTAAACTTTCCAGAGAAATTTCCAGATGATAGATAATGTGGTAGATTTCATCAAGACTGAAGTAGCATTTGCTTAGATTCATCAGTTAAAGTCCATCAACTAAAATAATTTTTCATCATTCTTTCATGAGGAAGTACTGAGATTCTACCATCCCTTTCTGATGTGTTTAACTTTTGCCATGGGTTTAGGAATATAAAGGCTTAGTTCAAAGTTTGGCTCTGAATCCTGGGTGTTCTCCATTAGCTGTGAGACTTTGAACACTGTGTACAGTGACTCTAGCATCTCCTGTGAAATAGGAATATTACCCACCACTTAGTGCTATTTTACAATTAAATGAACTAATGTGGATATAAGTTCTGAGTATAGTGCCTTCCCAGCCCATAACCCTGAAATGGCTAATGTTATCTTTTTAATCATCTGAGAAGAATAATCCAAAATTCTTCCTTTTAGAAAGTCTAGAAAGGATGCATGTTGGAGAGCCAAAGAGCAATCATTTTACTTTTGTTATCTAAAATCATAAATGTTTTTATTCCCCTACTGCTGAAACCTTATTGATTTATTGGCTCTTTGAGCTTTTCTTGAGTCTTCTACCAGAAATGTGTATGGCCCTGTGAAACCTTTTATTTCAACCAATTCCTTAGGACCCATAAGAAAGGTTCAAATGGTGATTTAGTCTGTACCTCAAAGGGACTTCTATCCCTCTCAAATTACACAGCTCCTTGCCTCAGATATCCTCTCAAAATTCTATATTAGCTTTCCTCCCATAAACTTTATAAATCTCACTATTTAATATATAATCTTAGAACAACTTTAAGCATTCCCTCTTGACAATACAACAAATATTTATTGAGCACATGCACAGCCAATCTACTATTATAACTTTGTTCCAATTGAATGCAGAAAACAGCTATGAGGAT